GGTGAAGAAGGTGAAGAAGGTGAAGAAGGTGAAGAAGGTGAAGAAGAGGCGGGAGAGGCGGACGGAGGCGAAATTCGGAGCCTTGAATGCTTCCAATCCAACGCGAGTGAAGCATCCAATGAACAGCAATCTCATGAGAATTCTGCTATTGGCCAGCTGACAGAGCTGATTCTTGAGTTGAGCGCTTTTTTCGCCATGGAGGAATATTCTGACGGACGAAGGCCCGTCTGTGTCGGCGGCACAAGAAAGCACTGATAGACAACAAGGTGTGAGACATAGAGTTGCTGCGATGTGAGACTTCGTTAGGTAGGACGCGAGCCAGAGCTGGAAAAGGACGGAAACGATTGGCAATTAGAATCACGGACGTCATCCGAGCTTAGTCTTCACAACTCGGTGTTGAAACACATAATCAATAAACTACATTTGCTGCACGCTACCGTACTAACCAATCCTGAAGCTTGGGGTGAAGAACAACAAGAGGCAGTGCACGAAGCTGTCAATCGGGCTAGTACTAGCGTAATGGGCTGGCGTGGTGGTGTGACTCAATGGAGGAACATGGTGAATTCTACTTATTATAAATCTACAAGTAGCTCCTTGTGTAACCATTGACCTCGCCGCTCGCCTGTTTATATAGCTAACCTTGGTGTTGGTCTCTCAGTTATCCTGTTTGAGGTTCACAATTGCCGACCCCGGAATCTGCAGCGCCAGGTTTCAGCCAAGTGACGGTATGTTCCAATTTGTTGTATTACGCTCTTGCAAGTTAATGCACTGACAGAGACCAGAGAGCTTCGTATGGATCAGAAACCACCTCTGGGCACTCGCTGGCGCATGGCAGGCTCTTTCTATTCGATCGCAGTTTGAAAGCTACATTCACAATCAGTCCAACGCCCGTGATTCAACTACGCGAATTATTCAGGCTTTTCCGAAGAAGATTTTCCGCTCGACCTCGGGAGCATTAGGCGAAGAAAAGTGTCCCGTTTGCCTAGAGATGCTAGAGGCAATGCGGCTGCCGTGTGGTCACTGGTATCACCGCGGTTGCGTGGAACAGTGGTTGGAAAAACGTAGCTTCTGCCCCATGTGTCGGTGCGATGTCACTGCAACAACGGAAGAGAAACGGACATACAAATCCTGGCGCTATCAGTGGTGGAGAGACTTCATTCTCAGTGTAACCTAAGTCAGACGAAAGCTTGCCTTTCACAGTTCACAGGATTGCTAAATTTGGTGCACGAATGGGAGAGCAGCGTCGAGGTCAACAAGTGGATTGGACGCGCCGCTGGCTACGTTTGTATCTCCCAGTGATCACTGTGATACCATTGCATTAACTTGAGGCGCCGTTGCTATCAACCGGGTCGGTACCACCCACCTGGTTCTTCCCGTGTCCGTCAATTCCGGGACTTTCCCCATGATCCTCTGCCAGTGCGACATTTCCCGTGATATTTACTATGGGTTTCTGCCGAAGTCCGCGGACTGCAATCAGAAGCTGCAGCGATCATCGGCAGACCGGAATACATAAATTGGGGGCAATATCATCATGGAAATCTCAATGCGGAAGAACGAGGAATGCTAATGGCTTAAAATGCCCAGTCAGGCACATAGAAATTAATGCTTCCAATGAGTCTTCCCCAGCCATTTCGCAGTATAAAGGGAAAGCGTGAGAATCTGGTTACATGGGTATACTTATTCTATAGGGATGACGCATCGTTATGTATAGTAAATTGGTGAGGAAGCTCAAGATTCACTAAAGGTGTGTGTGGTGGTCATGTAATTATGATGACAGGGGCTTGGTGTCAGTGCTCTGTCGCATAAGCCTGCCTTTGTCGACTTAAATTCTAGTGATATCTTCGAGCCTGCGGTAGCTCGTCAAGCTGGTCCAGGAAACCACAGCTTCGATAACCCTACCCTAGTCATAGACAGCAGTGGGGGCGGACTCCAGCCCTTTTATAATCCTTGTGCGAATTGGTTAATAACTGTCAGCCCTTTACGCTGAAATCAGAAAATGTGCCATCTTGGTATCAAACAGTGAACTTGAGATGCCTGGGTAATGGGGTAATCCTAAATGCCTTCATGAGCATTCGCTGCACGGATCTGATGGTTCTTTGAAATTGCACTCACATAGCAGGCTTCTGTCAGCGAACGGTAATTAAGGAAAGTTAATCACGCATCAACGTAGATACTGTCCATTTAATCTCTACCACCATTGAGATGTCATTTCCGAATTTGGAGCGCGATTTCGACATGGAACGAGGCCTCAAAAATTCCGGGAGAAGAATTACCCAGCAGAGGCATTAAATTTGCTCGACACGCACTTCAAGAGTATTCTTTCCCTGAAAGAAATCATCGTCAATTTCAATGTGTACCCGCAATGGGACTTAAGCGATGATTTAACGAAGGAGATGAGCAACTATGGGTGGACCGTTAAGGTCACAGAGCTCCCAAAAAAGATTCGGATCTCCAACGATGATCGAGTCGAGATTGATAACGAAGAGGATTGTAATCCATACAACTCTAAACAGTCCCGAATAGAAGAGGAGCAGGAGAAGGAGAAGGAGAATGAAATGTGGTTGGAAGAGTATTACTGTATCGTAGAAGACGCGACTCTTATTTGAAAAAAGATTTAGACTATGACTGAAAGGATTTTATTACCGTATACCAAAGAGGCTTTGACAAGCAGACTCAACAGATCAAGTCGCTTGGACGCAGCCAAGCGTATTCTAGACTGTTGAAGTGTTCAAGGGGAATTTAACGCGACGTTCAAATTTATCCCAGTGAAGAGAAAACAAACCCTTTAAATCGGCATCCTTGAGCAGCTTACAGTCTGCTTTGTGGTTATTCTCGTTCCAACCAGTCCTCTGGCAGTCCTTTTTGTAACATTGTTAGCATCCCAATCAGCAGGGCGGGCTCAGATGACGAGCTTACTCCGTTGCAGTACCAGAAAAGCGAGCATTTGGCACACTTCTTTAAGGAAATCGCCTGCCTCTCGCACCCATGACATGTTCTTGTCCCATTCGTTTCCGTCGAGAATTTTTGGACTCGGTCGCTCAACGCTAGCGACTTATTTAGCGATAGTGGAAATATCTATGGGGACATGTTGTGTTAGAAACGTAGACAAAGTTAGTTGTCTCGATGATAATTGTACCTTAATATTCGTGGCTTCCTCAAGACGGATTCCCGGTTCAGAAAACATGAACGTGTGACGCTGCGCGTAGAGAATTGCGATAGTGTGCCCCTTCTGAACCTCTGAAGGTGCCAATTCACTGCCACGCCTTTGCGTATAGAAAAAGAGTGGAACCGTCGTACCGTCGACGTCTTTGACGTCCATCTGCAGGCGAACCAATGAGGCGAAGGCAATAATCTCGGCCAGGAAGAGCCAATGCCGCCGTGGTTGGTAGGTAATCCCGTTGCTACGTGCGTAGAACCCAGGATCAAAGCAGTTCTCGTCTGGCAGGTCGTTGAAACCTGGGAACGTCGTTCTACTGCGAAAGTCCGCCGGCTCTCCGGGTCGTTGTAGCTTCTCTCTCCTCCACAACCAATCTTCGAACCCTTTCGCGTCAAGTCCCTGGGGAACGTCATCCAGAGCTGTCTTCCACTTTACCGAGATCCCGTATAACTCATGTTTCGATGGATCCTGGGACAGAGGTCTGTTTTCAAGCACCCTAGGGCTGTCGTCGCCTTCAAGGATAGTCCACCCAAGCACCGCTCGTTCAGCAAAAATTTGTGCCCGGGCTAGATCTCCATTGGCGATAGTGGTTTGCGCAGCATCCAGGAATGCCCTGGGTAAACCGGCGTCATTTGGCCCTTGTTCATTGTAAAGACAGATTTGTTGATCAATGTACCTGTTGCGCCTGAGACAGTTGCCGTTTTACGTGCGCTTCAGGCGTTACCTGATTGCGCCTAGTGCCAGGAGGTCTTGCGACGTGGCAGGACTCAG